GATAGATTTGAAAGAAGTGGTTGGTATATATGAGATGTCTTATTTAGTTATTCTACATTGGTAGAAGGACGATAGATTTGAAAGAAGTGGTTAGTATACAAAGGTAGATGTGATATCTTATTTTAATCACCCCACATCGGTAAAAGATGATAGATTTGGTTTGGAAGGAGTTAGTATATAAAAGCATCTTCAATAGATTCTCCACGATCCTAAAATCTTCGCCAAAACGAAGAAAATATGAAAAAGAGAGAGAGAGAGAGAGAGAATAAAGTTAAAAGAAGGGTATATTTTAGAGATGAGCATAAATTTTCTTTGGATATTTTTACTTTTGATTCTCTATTTTGAATTTTATTTACCCGTTATAGTATTAAAAAACTTTTTGATTTGAATTAAGATGACATCATACAAGTTACCAGGTACCTAGGTCATGTCATCATTCATGTGCATGGACGGATCCACCTTTTAGGTTGTGGTTGCATGTGCAACCATGAATTTTTATAGGGGTTAAGTGTAATTTTTTTAAGGTTCTTAGATATGAAACCATAATTTTTTTAGGTGAAATGATTAGATTTTTTTTGGATAAAACTACAAACTTTATAAATTTTAAGGGTTTTATATGAAAAATTAATAAATAAAACTCTACAATGATGGTGGTTAATGATGACAAGTTATGGTTTACATCGTTGAAAGACTTTAATGTTTTTAATTTAATTTATTTCCATTTTTCATTTTATACCGTGTCATATTAATTTATTAATTATTAGTAAAAATATATTAAAAATACTTAATTTATTAACTAGTTGTGTACCCGTGCAATGCGGCGGAAGGCATGAATTTTAACGATTTTGAAGTTCCACTGATTTTATAAGATAAGATTTAACGATGATATAGGTTATACTTGGTCTTTACATATTAATACAATTTGAATAAATAAGAGTTATGGTTCCAATTACAGACTATCGATGAAAAAAATTGTATGACAGTTTAAAATCCAATATATTTAAAATCCAACATATTTAAATGACTTCACAAATGTGTTCGATTTACACCAAGAGCAAAGAATCAAGAAGCTTGAGTTTTAAGATAAACACTCAAAACCAATAAAGAAAACTATAAATTTGACAGATCATAAACCATGAAAGGACAAAAAAAGATGAGTTTTAGAATGAAATTTCAACTGTTTACCCTCTTTCTTGTCCAGAAACTCATATTAAGGTTGAATTAATACATATATATATATATATATATATATATTTCAAAAAAAAACCCAAGAACATATTAATTCAAAACATATTATACAGTGCAATTTAGATAACCTAACCCCAAAATATATAGTATTTATATAAATAAATAACTATAAAAATATAAATCGTAAATATTAAAAATATTTTTTCACAGTATATATAATATATAAATATAATTAAGTCAAAAAACTATTCAATATTGGACTCATTTCGAAGGTATTAACGAGACGATTATAATGGTGTAACTTGTTAAAATAAAAATGTATTTTTTAAACATGTTTTAATTGATATACGATTATGTATGTTAATTTGATAAAGGTTTAAAATGAAACATTTAAAAGTGAAGAACATAAAGTAAATTAATTAATTAATTATAGGGGTATAAAGTATAAATTTAAAATTATAATTTTAAAAAAATCGGTTGTGAGAGGGTGAGTGTATGTGAGAGGGTGAGTGTATGTGAGGAGAGAAGGGGGTGAAAAAGTGAGTAAATTATTAAATAAGTTAGTGCATATCTTGATTTTTTATTGACTTTTTTTGAAAGAGGTAAGATCCGGTGAATCGGAAACAATTAATTAAGAATAAAAAACTTTTTTTATGGAACAGACAGGGTATTTTGGTCATTTAGAATTTTAGGACTTTAAGACTTTTGCTAAATTTGCTTAATAAGATAGTATAGATTATGATGTTGTTTTCGTTATTCATATTGATGGGGAAATGATAGACTGAAGGTCATTATATAATAAAAGAAAAATAGTAGATGTATGAAATATATTATAATATTTGAATTGTGGTATTGTTTATGTTACCTCACGTTATGGATCACATAATAGATTGGAGAATGGTTACGAATATATGAAAGGAGAAGATACACATTTGAAAATTAAAATGGTTATTTGGCTAAAGTATGCATTCGATTCATATCTTACGAAAAAATCGATCTAAAAATAAAATTGACTAGAATATTTAGGAATAAAAAGAAAGATGGTAGAGGTTTGAATTGTATAACAAGATTTGAGTAGTTAATTTTTTTTGAATTATAACGTTATTTTGATTATCTAACTTTGTCCATTTATTTAGAATATTCATTAAAGCCAAATGTCATATTGTTTTTACATAAATTTGTATCATCGCGCAACACCCGATGTCGAACACTAGTTATTTGCTAGTATGGCCACCGCGTATTGCGCGGTAGCAACACAGTTTTTAAGAAAATATATTGGACCTAGTTAAGATATAACATAAATCGGTTAACAATTAGTAGATGTAATGTAAAACAATGAATACTTTTCTTTTAAGTAGTTAATTTACATATATTGATAATTATTTGTTGTTACAAAGAGTTTGAGATACACCGTAAACAAAATAAGTTTGAGATACGTTGATAATAGTTTTGTTATAACAATATTTAGATCTCAAACGAATATCCATATCACTATTAATGTTACAAAGAGTTTGGAGATTTTTTTCTTCCAAAAAAAAGGTCTCCTATAATTAGAGTTGACTGAAAGAATCATCTTCTCTTGTCAATATATCATCACATCTTCTTACCAATTTGAGATAACCAAACTCACCACATTTCAAGATTTAATAAATACTTCATTCTCATGATATCATCTCTTTACTTATGATTGTTACTTTAATATAAAATAAATTTTGAAAATTTTATTTTTTTATTCTATTATGAATAAAATTTTATTTTTATTAAATTGTCATGTGTATATATATACACACACAGGGGGAGAGATTTGCTTATTTTAACAACTTTAAATATTTCAAGACATGTTTAGTCTAAATC